AATAGTAACTAAGTATGTAAGTAAGTCTATTAATTAGATTAATACCATTTAGGTATATCATGTTAATAAGTTAGTCTTTTATCCAAAATTATATTAGACTTACTAATATTAGTCTTATTTATGAATCACATAAAATTTAACTAACTTACAAGCATATTTTAGTGACAATTGTAGGATTGCTTAGCTTGCTTAGGTATATTTCACTGGATCTGTTAATCTTTTTATTTGTAATATATAAAAAATATGCAAAAAAAAATCAAGATTTTAAAATTTTTATCTTCAAGCCATGTGAAAAATGGAACCCATATTTTTGTTATGTGCACCAACCCTGTTTTCCATAATAAGTTTTTGACAAGGAGTACTTTTTAGTAATAATTTTTCTCATTAACTTAGTAGAATTTTTGCTTATTTCCAACTACAATTTGTTTTGAATTCGAATTGAGCTGCTCTAGTACAAATAGCTAAAGTTTTTTTTTTATATTCCACAAGTATTTCTGAAATATTTTTATATATAAATGTTAATTATTTGAGTAATTAAAGTGGTTTCAGATTAAGGAATATTTTAATTTGAATCATTTTAATTAGCTTATTTTGCGAGAACTGGCTGTACTAAAATTTTACAAGGCTGACAATAAAACCTAGTAACTGGGATAGATTTTGGGTTCTAATTTTTGTTATGTTTTTTTTAAATCGGCCAATTTACGATATGCGTTGGTTTTTTTCCCTTTTTAAGAACAAAATTTAATTCAGCATTTGAACTGTTTGCAGCGCATTTGCACATCAAAACCAATTCCTAATTACTTCGCTGCTCAACGCTTTAATTACTTCTGCTCAGTGAGTTTTCCACTTGTTACACTGACATTCATCCTAACTAATTAAAGTCAAATGCATTCGGTTGTACTGTTGAACGGAAAGCTCAACCCATTTCAACTTGGTATATACTCGTAGAACAAAATGTGAGCAACTTTCCCCTATTTAGTTTTATTTTATCCATTTTCCACTCTTAGCTGTTACCAGTTTGGTTTGCGACGTAACAATGCTGGATTATCCTCACACTGAATGGAACCACAAGGATTGACATTTCGACAAGTTTCCTTTCGGATCGTTGCTTTGTTATTAGCAGTCAGTTTTCTTCATTTATTTCCAACTGTCATTCCCTGCTAAATGTGGAAATTTTTGTTATTTCCTTTTATTTAGATTTTCCTTTGTTTTTCTTTTTTAACGAGTAATGCAGGTTGCAAGGAACAAGGACATTACGCATGTTAAATCAACTAAATTATACATTGTATGTACTGCTACTAGCTGCACTCATGTATATGCAGTGCACAACTGTTGGATTTGGCTCCACTGTTCTCATAGTTTCTTATCCTTTATGCAAACAACATGACATTTAAACTGCTTTTGAAAGTAAAATAACCCTTTTTTGCAATAGAACTATTCACCATGGCAGTGCAAGGATTGCGCATAGCAAAAATTAGCGAAAAGCCAAGGTTGAAACGTTGGCAAGTTTAATCAATTTTATGCATTAACAAATTAATTATTCAAAAAGTTTCCAACAAATTTATTTAACTCGCTTAATGAAGGACTCAAATGCAGTAGAATACCGAAAGCTTTTTTCATTTTATTTTTGGAAACTTTCAACCACTTTTATGTATTTTTATACAATATGTAAAATTTAATTTATTTTTAATCCCCAAAGTACGATGTGTGCAACAAACCATGATTCCGCCAGAAAATTCACTTCTGTCCGTACACCTAAATGGATTGGGTCTGCGAGGATGTGGATTCCGTCTTACCAACCGCAAAGCTTTTTATTCTGGTTTGTTTTTTATACTCCAGCTGTACTCGTAAAGCGGTGAATGCTGTTTTGCAGCTTAACACAAGTGATCCGTTTTATGCGATTTACTTTTACAGACAACCAACTGATGTATCCTTTTTATGTGCTCCGTATACAATGCAATGGGTATATGTTGTACTGCATGCATGCCTTTGACTGCATATCACTTTTAAGCATGTTAACATGATGCTTTGTTGCAAGTTAACTGCAACAATATTGTTAACATTGGCATAAATATTGCTTTGCAGTTGCTATAGTGTTTGAGTGACACGTATTGAATTTATAAATATCGACATATGCTGCAAAATACGGTTTATATTCGTACTGCGTTAACATATAAGCTGAATGCATTTTACCTTTGGTTTATATAAAAAATATGTAAAATATTGAAATAAGACTGAAATTCTGCTAACGAAATATAGCTTTTTATGGATTCGCGGTAAAAATATTATAACAAATATTTCAGTTTTTACAAAAAATCGGAGAGAGAAACCTTGATAATGACTGATAGTATATACAAAGGAAACTCCATGCGCTGCACTTTCTTTATGCAGACAAAGATTTATGTAGAATTAATAGTTATAGTGCCTCATATATATTTGACAACACCATAAAGCAATATCGGAAACAATTTCATAACTCAGTGAGTTTTTGAATTTCCCGCATAGAAATTCTAAATGGAACACTGCTCCCTACAACTATTATTTGGTAATTGACTACGAACTGCTACGCCACCCAGTATACCCTCCAGATTTAGTGCCTTGCATGAGCTTTCTGTTTCGAATCCAATAAAAGAGCTCAGAGGTAATTGAGAGGTTATTTACTGCTACTCCACTCAGCATATTCTGCAGTTGTAGTGCATATATGAGGGACTAGGATTTTGTACTCAATCCAACATACTTTTTAAATTTAGTCCCTTTTGACTATATCCTTTTTGAGAACTTGTGAAAATACCATCTATTAATCGGCTACTTACTCTGAACTGATTTAGTATACTTTCCAGATATGTTCCAGGAAACTCTTTATCAAACTTGTAAAAATCACTAAGTAGTTAATATGTATCACTACTCCAAACAATTATCACCTATTAATAGATTATTTACTACTCTCCCATTCAACGTATTCTTCACATTTAGTTGCGTGTGATGTTTCCTGTTTCCGAACTCGAAGAAACTGCTCGGTGGTAGGAGATTAAGATCAAATGAAGGAATCATGGGTAAAATAAACGTCTGTTGTGAGGACCTTAAATAAACTTAGTACCTAGTACTTGTAAGGAACAAAAAATCAGGTCACCACACCACCACTTAACGAATCCATAAAGTCAGGGATGATTTTAGCGTCACACAAACATATTAAGTAAGCTTTAAAATATGGAAGTAACCGTTTAGCTACTGGAACAGTGTGTATATAAACCTACTTGTACGAAAAATCTCTAAGACCCAAGAATGGTTTAAACGCAAAAAAAAGAGAGGAAAATTATATTTAATATATAATTAACGATTTATATAAGAGACAATAATGCATTCTACTAATTGAAATAATTCTCAAAATAAAAATATAACTTAAGTAGATATGATTTATAGAACCAAATGCATTGTCTATGCAAGCTTATTATTTCTTTTAATTAAAATTTAAATTGCATTCCATGTACATATTTTTTAAAATCAAAACTGCTAATATTTGTGATATCTAACAGCTTTAATCTCTTGCTGAATTCTGATGTCACATTAAATTGAGATTTTTCTAATAGAGCTGAGCTTCTCGTAAACGATAATAAAAGACTTTTTGTTGGCAACAAATTGTTTGCACATGTGATATACTCTCACAGAAATGAAAGATTTATTACGGTCGATATTAGGCAAAAAGTAGAATTGCACGAAACATCATTCATTCAAAGTTTGCAACACATGCAAAGAAAAAATTGATGAAATATTCCACACCATATTGCTTTCTACTTTAAAGGAAATATTTGTCCAAATTATTTATGGATGAAATTCAACATTGAATATTTGCAGTTCATAAAAATTTTCTAAATATTCGTTTTAATTTGAGCTTATTAAGTTATTAAATTATTCTAAATATTTTTCTTTATTACTTAAGTATTTGCAAGTCTTTATTAGACATTCATTTAGTTAATATTTGCGTAATATTTATTATAAATATTTTAATGGTATTTGTTTGAAATGTTTAAACTATTCTATTTATTCAAAAATTTATATTAAATATGGGATTGTGTTAATCAGAACTTGGTAAACACAACAAAAAAATACAGATTATGAAGAGAAAAATTAGTTAGGAATCTTTTAAAAATACAAAATAAATATATATTCTATATAAAAGATATGCGAAATTTCCATTCTTAAAAACGCGCTCAAAATATATCCTCTCAATTCTTCTATTATCAACCTATAGATAATTTTATACACTGTACTGTACATCATACCAAATTTGAGCGTGATCTATAATTCAATGTGTTTACGTCAGCAATTTTACATTTTTTGCAATTATTTTTTCAAGTGTATTGAGATGTGTGATCATATAAAGTAATTATGGTATTATGATGGACTTTTATGGTATGGATTATGGACTATTATAATTATGGACTTAATGGCAAAAAACTCAATATATATGTTTGATCAATCAAGCCGTGCTCATTTGTAAAATTTGTTATTGAAGCTGAAATTATCACTTTAAGAGAGTCATTTAAAGTCGATTACAGTCATAAAAAACTTGAAAGGTTTCAGATCAATGAAATAAATAACGTAAGTAAACAGTGCATAATATAATTGATCTGTATTCCAGGATACCGAGGAATAGAAGGAGACGATATTAAATGCATTAGCTAAACATGGATTAAAAACATTCTTTGTTTTATTAAAAGATGTTCAAGAATATATCTATTATCAGGATTTAAGTGTTATAGAACACAGGTGGGAAGTTATATATGGTGCAATGTGAAAAATACAATCTAATATGGCCAAGCCACAATTATTGAAACCAAAAATTGTACTGAGTAAGTGCATAATCGGAGTAAAAAAACTGGTAATGGA